ATGAAGTAAGGCCGATATATGGTCATGCGTACCTTCGATTCAGTGAAAGGACCAGCCAGGTTGAATGGATAATGGTTGTACGGAACTTCTGAAGCAAGTACATTCACAGTTTAAGGCCCGGGAATAGGGAAAGAGGAGGGAATAGAACGGAAGCATTAGCGCCTGGTGATTGCCAAAGACACCAGATAAAACGGTGTCCAATTTGGAAAACTTAAGAGTGGAAGATAGGAAATCCGATGAACCGAACCTGGAAATCAAAGGCTACTTGAGGTTTCTGATGTAGTACAGGGACAAAACAGATCAATATTACTGAGCTGCTTGGCATGTATCCAGTAATTCCAGATAGCGATACAAGGGACTATCACTGATAGCAAGCGTAGTGTCCCATTTTTTCACTGAGCGTCAGTCGACCACAAGACATAAGGCCAGGGCAAGAGTATGTGCTTAATTCAGGGAAAGTAAGGACTTTGCCGCCGCTACAGGAGCACGGAGACTAGCCGTCGGACTAGCTGAAACGCGCGATTACACGATACGATTGCATGGCGTAAGTGTTTAGCTATGTCAGAGAATATAAACATAGGGTCTCCGCTGTGTAGACAGGGATGGTTAATGTGAAGAGGGACAGAAGAGAGATAGTCAGCGGTTCGAGCTGTTTGATGTTTTTCGTGGAAACGGCAGCCCAATCGTTTTTACTGAGCTGCATGATGTAGATATCTTGAAACAGAAAATCAATGAAGTAGGGGGTCATTATTGGGATGGACTTTTGAAACCGACACCGAAAAAGATAGCCGTCAACAAGCTTTACGAAGATGGAAGTGCTGAAAGTCACTGGGGCCTGCCGCGTGTGTTCTTGGCTGTCGTTGTTTCGCTGATCGCACCGATCACTGGAAGCGTCGAAGAACTGCGTTAGCTGAAACCATTTAAAGATTCAAACGAGTAATTTTAAAGGAAATTAGTCCGGTGGGACAGCGCGATCCAGTAATAATAATAATATTATTGTTTATTCACAACTTGTGGGTGGCATACCGTCCCGCATGATCATGCGTTTACAGACAGAATGGGGCATTACTGGAGAATTTGCGGTTAGTGGGGATTCCGCGAAAAGGGGAAAACGTCATGAATAGTGAGAAGTATCCGATGAAATAACAGGTTTCTTTCGCAACTTGTAGAGAACAATGGGCATGAGGTCCGACTAACTCAAATACTCAGTCGGCTGACATGAACTAAAACAGAATACCATTGCTGGCCACGAGTGGCCTTGGGCGGTTGGGTAAATGGCTGGATTCACAACGAGCAAAAATGGAGGTGGAGGTGGGATGATTCGAATTGGGAGAACATAGCAGGTTTAATCTCAAAAGTATGGTGCAATCTGACAACAAGCAGACCCACTGGTTGCACTGACGTAGGGAGGTCATGTGCAGGTGTTATGATGGATGGGGACACAGAGGTGGTCGGTTTCGAAAGCGAGAATATATCAGATGACACAAGATCTAATAGATTGGATTTAAGAGTGGCGTGACCAAAAAACTTCAAATCGCAGGAAGTGTGGAGCCAGAATAACGGATCTGGAGATTCAGTAGAGCTGCCACGACATGGATATCCAATTTAAGCTAAAGCCCAAAATCGTCACTAGGGCTTTATGGCCAAAACCAACCCACGCGAGCTATGGAATGATTGTTGAACACCTGAAGAAGCCTCAGTTAGGCTGCTCTAATAGGTCAAGCCTCACGGCCATACAACAAAACCGTCTACGCTGTAGCTTGATACACACGTCCCTGGAGATTCAGGGATAAACCTTTCCGAAACAACAAGTGTCTCAAATTAGCGCACATGACCGGGACATGCAGATTCGTGCATTCGCTTAATCTGTCACATTAATATCAGAAATAATACAACTTCCAAGATACGTAGAACGCTCACCAGCATCATCGTCGACAGCATGACATCAGTTTTCACCACCGATACTTCACTGCAGTAAAACGTTCCACAACCCCAAGTACCATTGTTAGGGGAGCGGCAATTGACTGCAATTCCAGAAGCATTACCTCAAAATACGAAGTAGAGAGTCCATACCAAAGGACAGAATAAACTAATTCAATTCTCGCAGAAATACGAGCGCTGCCCCCACTTGTACGCATTGTCCTCTTTACGTGGTGGATAGGTAATTGACCATGAGGTTATACCCTAGAAGCAAAGTGGCCCATTGCTGGAGGCTGTTCGCGCTTTACACTGGAATCCACTTCTTTGAGACAAGACGAGGGTTCTGTGGTTAGAGCGCGAATTTACAGACCGAAAGGTCTGTGGTCCTGCGTTTCGTCTGCTCCTATCTAGGCTTTGGAAAACTGTTAACATCTCAGCCCTCGTGCTGCCTTAGGGTGCCATGGAAGCTGGGCACCGAAAGGGTGTTACAACTGAAGAAGTTTTCCACCTCGAAGAGATTGGGGTTTCTGTGGTAACGGTTTGCGTAACTTCGAGACCCGTTGAGCTGAGCTAGGGGGTTTTACCGCGACAGTCACAGTCTCTCATACCAGGTTGGTTAATGGTTAGAGGTCTGACGAACACAGTCTCCCGGACCTCCACGATGGCGACTTGTTCTATAAAAAGCCAAGCGCCGCTGCATTGCCGGTCAGGCTTTGGAGCCAAATGGCTTTGGTTTAGCACCCTAATAGTCCTCCTGTCTAGGTGTGGGCGCCCCGACAGTATCCAAGCCCACACACAACCATGAACTGCACATATACAAATAGACTCATTCCACATCGGCCATCGCGTGGTGCCATCAGCCGGGTCGCCATACTTGCTGCATACAGCAGGGTGGGTAAGCGAAAACAGGCTAGAGCTGACGCCTCCCTTCTTTATCTTTTACGAAGTCCGAAGTCAAAGGGCGAGAGGATTCTTGCTTGATTGGATACCCGTTGATAGCCTCTTCCCTGGTTCGTCTGGTAGCGTGTGAAGTCTCACAAGCGGGAAATCGACCGATGTGTTTGTCGTGCCTGCTTACGCCCAAAGTGACCGTAGCTCTGACACCATCAAAGACAAGTTTTATTAAACCCTGAATACCCTGGTGCATCGAGCTACAAGCTCACGTTTCGTCGTGATACGGGAGATCTGAATGCACCAGTTGGCAGGATTAGCGCATCTAATGCTCAATTCAGTGGCCGACATGGATTAGACGCGGTACGTACGGACAATTGTGAACGATTGCTTCAGCTGTGTGCTAAACGCGGACTGTCTTTATGTAGTAGTGACTTCCGAAATACCCGAAGTCTTCTAGCTACATGGTGTCATCCAAAAGAGTGCAGACAAACTCGAACTCATCGCATTGCCATCAGTTACCAACGAAGCGGATCAATAACTGACCCCTGATCGTTTTGGAACACATTCGTGGATTTCGACCACACCCTTGTCCGGAAAGGAAGGGACTTGGTGCTAGCTTACAACAATCATCCCGAGGTACCTACAACTCTCAACACTCATTCAGGCAGCCCGGATAGAAACTAACAAGATCGCCACTGACATCGGTTGGCAGCCATATCTTGCAGCGTCTCCAACCAGGCACGGTGAGGATCAAGCGGCCACCATCCTGGAAGGCGGGTGGCACCGACAGCGCCTAATCTCTTCAGTACCCCTCTGCCAGCTCATGGATTGGCCATTTCTCTAATTCAACCATTCTGAATTGTGCTCGGGAAACAGCACTGTCCTCAGCAAACGATGGTTTGGCATACGCAATACATGACCTAACCAACGCAAGTTCTGGTGTTGGACACATTCTTCAATAAAAGTGCCTATTGTACCACCGAAAACTCGCTTCTTAATTGTCTTGTTACGGATACGCCGACACCAACCCACAACAACTATTGTCGAATTCCCGAAGGGGTCTAAGTTCCGCTGCCTGAACAGGCCAAGTCTCACAGCCGTACAGCAAAACAGTCCACACTGTGTCTTGGTACACACGTCCCCGGAAATTCAGAGATACACCACCTCGACGCCATAGGTGTCTCAAATTAGCGAACGCGGCCCGAGCCTTACAGCTTCGTGCATCGTTCACCCTACAGTCAGAATTAATACAACTTCCAAGATAAGTAGAACGCCCCACAACTTCCAGTGCCTCTCCCTGGATTATAAGTGACGTGTTCAGTGACTGCATGTCCACGCGCATGACCCTACACTTTGTGGGTGCATACCAAAAGATAGGATGACTCTGGTCAATTCATCCAGAAACACCTGTGCCTTTTACTCCTCTTCGAATTTCCTTTTACTTTGTCAGCTGTAACGACCGCGTACTTGTCGTAGAGTGGTTGTAGCTGCCACAGTTTCGTTCACCCATGATTCGGGGAGTTGGGGTAGGTAGCTGCGCGTTGTAAGCTGAAGCTGATAAATCAGTGTGTAAATATAACACTGTAGGTGGACTGTTAGGTCAGGGGGTTGGGAAAGGAGCTATGCATTGAAGGCAATAGGTTGGATGCACAAGTGCCAATAAGGGTGCGACTGGGTGATGTCTGACAATGTCTCTGACTATTGACATGGCCCGTCTCGGGGCCCCATCCAGCAACACTGCAATGACCAGCGCATCTGAGTTTGCTGCAAATTCCACATCGACAAGGTTCCCGTCACAGGCAATTAGGACACCGGGGTTTTAGAGACCTTCCAGCTTTCATCTCATGATTTCACCTAGCACGGAGTTAAGCAGGAATGGAGAGAGTTGGTATCCCTAATGGACACCGCTTTGTGTATAGAACCTGCCGGAGAGCTCGCCATATACTCCAACACGCCCGGAAGTCTGGGAATACAAAGAGCTTATTATGTTCACGAACTTCCGGGGCATTTCTTGGCGGACAAGTATGTCAAGCAGAACAGGCCGGTCAGCCGAGTCAAATGCGCCTTGGAAATCCAGAAACACTGAAATCGCGGGTCGCTTATACGCATGAGATTGTTCTAGCACCTGATGAAGTGCGAAGATTTAGTCAACATAACCCCTACCAGGCCTGGATCCCGCTCGCTACTCCCGAGTCAGTATTTCATGGGCCACCATGAGGCAACGAAGCACCAGTGACGCCAACAGTCTCGTTACGTTCGAAGTCACGCTGATCCCCCTGTGACTGTCACACTCACTAGGAGCCCTTGTTTTGAAAATGGCACTATCACCTATTCTCCCCAGTTGTCCGAGACAGACTCCTTTTCCCAAATGCAGGCAAACAGATCAGACAAGCGCTGACTGAGGACTTAACCCCCATCTCTGAACAAAGCGAGTGGGAGGTCATCCGGACAAGAGGCTCGGTGACGCTTAAGAGAACATATGCAGTCATAAACCTCTGAGACCCAAAGCGGTTCCACTCTCACCGTCCAAGGTTCTACGTCACCCGTGGGCTCTAGATGGGTACCAGCTGGCGGCCATGACAATTGTTGTTAGAAGTATTCAGCCCATCGGTCGAAACGTTCTTCTTTATTCGAGATGCACACTCCATTCCGATCCCTTATGGTCTCGCTCACAGGTGGTTTCCGGAGACCGGTTGCACGGATCAACTGAAATAATCTTCGACATTACCGGCTTTCTGGGCCTCTTCCATTTCCTTGGCAGTAAGTTATTGATCCGCGTCATCGGTAATTGATGACAATGTGGTCGATTGGAGTTTGTGGCCGGTATGCCGTTGGAGGACACCATGTGGCCAGACGAATTCGGCTATTTCGGAAGTTAGTACTGCATAAAAACAGCCTGCGGTCAGCGCACAGCTGAAGCAATAGCTCCCTATTGTCCGTACGTACCGAGTCCAATCCATATCGACCTAATTGAGTCTCAGAAACGCTAAGCCTTCCTAGTTGTGCATTCATATCTCCGGCAAACACCACAATGTCTGAGCTTTCAGCTCGCCGCAGCAGGGCATTCTGCGTGTCAAAACCTGTCTTTGACGGCGTCGGGGCTACAGTTGATTGGGGTGCAGGCAGACACGATAAACAGACATCTACCAACTTCCCGATTGTGAGACTCCATCAAATACGTTGCCAGACGAACCGCACAGAGGCGACTATCAACAGGTATCCAGTCAAGCAAGGATACTTTCATCCGGCCGCAGCAGACTCTGCATCGCTAGGGATACGCAGCCCGAAGTGAGTGGAGACTGATGGGGCGGTTAGCTCAATCACTGTGCCTGGATCCTGTATTCTTGTTTCTGAGACAGCACACATCAATGCCAAGCGAGTGCAGTGTGAGAGCGAGAGCAGTTTATTGTCTTGCTTGCTTCAGAGTGCGGACATTGAAGGCGGTCAGACAGACTGAGTGTCAAGGATTGAAGAGTGATTCGGAGATACCTAAGGATGTCGGCGCTATGTGACGAGCAGATGCCGCACGCGAAACCGATCCAAGACGAACGGAGTCATCGGTCCTAAGTGAAGGGCCTACAAGAGGAGAGTTATTAATGGGTGGGTAGAGGGGGAAGAAAAATTATGTGAGAAAGAAAGAAGGGAGGCGTCAGCAGTAGCCTGTTTTCGCTTACCCACCCTGCTGTATGCAGCAAGTATTGCGACCCTGCTGATGGCACCACGTGACGGCCGATGCGGTGTGTTTATTTGTATATGTGCAATTCTTAGTTGTACGTGGACTGGGATACTGTCAGGGCGCCCACGATGACCGATGATCGTTCATCTGTAACGCCCATTCGGTGCACAGCTGCCACGCCATCAAAAGAAGTGCGGAGGCTGAGATACTGCCAGTTTGCCCAAGCCTAGACAGGGGAATTCGAGAGACGATCGGGTTCGAACCACGGACCTCCTGGTCAGTAAATTCGCGTTCTAACCACTTACGCCATCTTAACCCAGGGCTCCCACACCTAGAGAGGGGGACGATTAGGGTGTTCAACCAAAGCTTTTGGCTGTAAAGCCTAACCGCGAGGTTCTGGTGTTTGGCAGTGAATGAAAATGCATTGCCGTTTCTACGGAACAAGTCGCCACAGGTTCCAAACCCTAGCCTGGAGGACCAGGAGACTGTGTTTTTCAGACGTCTAACCACTGACCAATCTGGAATGGGAGACTCTGAGTATCGCGAGGACACATCCCAGTATAGCTCAGTGGGTCGCTGAGGTGAGCGAACCGCCACACCACGGTAGAGTCCAGTCTCTTCGTGACGGGCCCCCGGGATTACAGAGTGATGTTCCTAAACAACTTCATTTTTGACATCCCGATATTAACCGCATGAACGCGCTAACACGTAGTTACGTCTACTGACCGAGCATGAATAAGCAGTTAGAACTTGTACACAAGTGTTCAAAATGCCAACCATCCGCAAAATCCCCTCAGGAAACAAACTTATGTTCATGGCAAATGCCAGAAAATCCATGGTCGCGACTTCATGTTGATTTTGCGGGACAAATCAATGACCAACAACATCTGATCCAAGTGACCAGAAGTGTTCAGTATGAACCATGCTGCTGCTTGTGCTGCCATTCAAAGCTACATGTGTTTAACCAGTTTGGAGCTCCAAGCATTATTGTCTGAAGACGGCATTGCATCCACGCCTGCTGAATTTTCTGCTTTGTGTCAAGAAAATAGCATACAACATATGCGATCACCACCGTTCCATTCACAATCAAGTGGCGAAGTGGAAAGACTTGTGGACACTTTCAAACGCGCACTCCTGAAACTCAAAGGATAGGGGACCATATTGGAAATCATCGAGACATTTCTGCTGAATTACAGGGCGACACCAAATGTTAGCGCTCCACATGGTACGTCCCCGGCGGAAGTACTTATAAACCGGAAGATCTGTTTATCCGTTGACGTCATCCGTCCAACACATTTGCCAACCGGTAAAAACACAAATATGAAAGTTCAGTTCCACCGGCGTCGCGGTGCTGTAATATATTTATACCCAACCAACCTGTGCTAGTAAAAGACTATCAAGGTGGTATGGAAAAGTGGGCACAAGGTATAATTGTGCGCCGTGCTGGAAGAGTTGTTTGAGGTAAAAGTAGGCTCCACTATCTAAGTCCGTCATGCTACGTTCTTCCTATCTTCCAGCGACAGCTACACTCGATCCTGTTGTTCTACTGGAGACCATTTGAAATAGATCTTAAATCCTTGTAACTTACGCTCTCACACCAGCTGTCCTGTTACTTGATCATGGCATGTACACTCACCAGCTTTTACACACAAGCATTAAACCACAGGTGAGACAACCACCCACAGGTGTTCTTGTCCATTAATCATCTTCCTATCCATCTCTTATGCAGACGTTAACTTCCTTGGACAACATCTGCGTCTGCCCTCTGAAGCGTAGTTTTGTTGCAGAAAGTGTTTTTTACCTCCATTGTAATTGTTTTCATGCCCCTTTGACCCCACGGTACTTCTTTACCTCCGGCTGTTTTGGTTCCACAGCGCACTCGTCCACACAGGTAACAGGGAGGTGTGCCTCTACTTGGCACATCGGTCTACATCAAAGCTCTATCGTCGTTTAGCCCTGTTATACAGGTTCTGAACATTCCCATTCCACTCCTATGACCCGAAGGTATTTGCCGTTACATTTGGCTCTTCGAATTTCATCCCTCAGTCGCTCAGTCTGATTAGTGCATCCATGCCCACTGTCTCCATCGTGCTCTGTTTTGTTCCACATACCACAACGTTCATTTCGAAACGACATCGTGGCATGACCATGGCCTTTTTCAACAACAGGTACTGAAATATCTTTAACTGCGCGATGTGATTGCACGCTATCGTTTTTTCGCGTTTTACTCGACATATATGAGAACAGAACCCAACCAACTAAAACGCACAATACCTTCACGATACGCAGACTCACGAGCCCAAGGGGCAAGTGGTCAGCCAAACTCCACATGTCCACGGACAAGTAAGGAACACGCGTGACAGCTATTCTGCGGAGAAAGCCCGTTTACACCGTCCGGATTTTCACCAGAGGACTCTCGTAAGCGATGGGTTTTCCGTTTGACTTGCTACGTTTACAATGACCCGGATTCGATTATTGAGCGGGCCAGCAATAAAACCACCTTTTTCTGGGCTTATTTGACTTGCTTTCATCCCTTTGTAATTTTTTATATTGGAGATTGTTTTGTCTGACGCAGTTGTCCAAACCTCAAAGGTCCGAGTTAGTCACACGTCCCTATTTGATGAATGAAGCCCGCCACGGCAAAGCCTTTCAGACTTGCTACATCGGGAAGAAGTTTTTACAATCGGAGGAATCACAAATCCAAGCGTCGAAAACAACCTCAAACAGTATTTGATGACGATCGGTCACAAAATCCTGGGCGATGTCTCCTGTAAAAGCATATCTGATGTCGACATAACGTCGCTCTGCCCTCAAAATAACTGGGCTTCTTTATTTAGGTAGAGACGAAACTAATCATATTATTCCAAAAACTGAAATGGTTAGGACTAAGCCAACACGTATATTTTGTCATCCAACGAGAAGTGGACAGGCAGCACGAGGCATCCTTTTTTGTACCACCCGATGACCAGAAAAAATCTTTTTCGTTGCAGGCTATACAGATTCGGTGCACTGCAGAGTTTCCGTAATTCACACATGCCAAATAGTTGACTTAGCGAATAAACGCTCGAGCGCTGATGGCGTAAGGCAATTTGTAACTCATTGTTCAGGTCATGGAGAATAAACAGTGGATGATTTGTTAGCGGATGTCTTAATGTGCACAGAAGACGTACTAAATAAAGACATTCAGGTTGTTAATCATGCGGACGCTATGGAGTACACAGATTTGTATGTCTGATCAACAAACAGCCCGAGTTATCAATCTTTCAACAGATCACCTGTCAGTAAGATGCGACAGCCGTCTTTGGTGTCATATGTGGCTAGCGCCCGGCTGTAGTTTAAACATTGTGTGATGGAGATACCTCAAACTATCCACCATCCATGAAGGGGAAGGCTACCTGTGCTTTTCCTGG